CCCAAGCAGCAAAGCAGGGCATCTTGACCAAATCAAAGTCAGGTCGCCCTAATTAAGTGAAAAATTACTAATTTTTGACATAAAAAACGTCTTAGCAGTTAAATATTGTTTGAAGTCTTCTGTACAGGTCGAAAATTACGAAATTTAAACCTATAAAAATGCCTTCAAAATTTAATGACTTCAAAGTTATACATTAGCTTATAAATGACTAAATTTTGACCAAAGCTATGCCTTCAAAGTCGATTTAACTTATAAGTCAAAATTAAAGCTCTGTTTGAAGGAAGTGTGACCTGATTGTATCACCTAATTTCAACCTCATAAGCGATATGACTTAATTGGTTAGGATTACCTAATTTTTTACTATATATAAATCGTTTGTGTTCTTGACTAATATAGGGAATATCTAAGGCACGAAATAAACCTTGTGGTCGCTGGAAATTAACTACAAAGTTGAGATTACCACGGAAAATGACTTATAAGGAAAATTGATCTAAGGTTAGGTCAAAATGCCCTGCAAAATTTACCCTGAAAGTTAATTATTGGTCTTGGACCTTATTAAAAGTCGCCATCCTGTTTGCTGTACAATCGCATCAGTTATTTTCTCTATGTTGATTATGAAGGAGTAAAAAATCGCTTGTTCAAGCAAGACACGTTTTTTTCTCTGTGCTGAGTGTTGTCATGAAAGGTTAAAATTTTTAAAAGCGTGATCGCGGCTTTGACCGTATATAATTATAAGTTAGGTTAAGTTAATTCCGTGATACATACTTACGATCGCGATGTAGCAGACATTTTTCGATATGTATCGATCCAGCGATTTCGACTTTGAGTCAATCTAACTTATAAATAGGGAAATTTGACTTGTTAGTCAGAATGCCTTAATGGTCGACAAGATGACATCAAAGTCAACGATTTTGAAGTAAAAATGCCCTGATTAAGGAAATTTACTCTCAAAGTTAGACATTTAGCCTTAGCAGTAAGGAAATTCGACCTATAGGTCAGTATTTGGACGAAAACATTAAATCAGCCATTATTGTAAGATTGTTCTGTCCGCCATGATATACTAAAACGCTTTCTAAAATTGAGCATTAATAAAAAATAAATTATATTATATCTCTCGGAATGTTAAGGATTGAAAAAAATATCTATTTTATGCTACTGTTAGCGTAGGTGCGAGATTAAAACATTTTTATTATACTAAGTGCAAAAATATATTGTTGTTAAATAATTAACGATTAATTAATAATTGTTTAAATTATATATTTTCGCAGGCGCGTTGATTTTAACGAAGTAAACTAAAAATCTGTATAGAAAATTTTCTTTCGCACTTATATTTCTGTCACGTATCATGCGATATTCGGTTTCAGAACCGACGTAAAGAAGGACTCTGTTACTATTTTATTTCGAACTTCCATGGCTGGTCGGAACCATATCAAGCACATGTTATAGCTGTAGTGTGATTCTCCGTCTTGGTAGAATTATTATGGAAATGTACAGTGTTGCCCTCTCGGCGACAAACACTGAGTCGTCGAAAGAAGGGAGGGCACAAATTGGTCAGAATTAGGTCAAAATTACCAAAATATTACCGATATTCGACCTTTTATTAGGTTTATTTGACCAAATCGGACTATGACTTATAAGACGAAATGCCTACCATTACTTAATTTCGACCGTAAAATTACTTCAACTTTATTCCCCACTTACCTTCTTTCGACGTCGATTCGACGTAAATTGGGATTGGTCAAACAGACTTTTCAACCTATTAGAAGGTCGAATACACGTAATTTCGCCCTATTTTGCTGCTTGGGAATGGCTGCGTTTTGCGTCAAAATGGATGCGAGTTTGCGGTACTTTATAGATATAGTGACTTTATTCGCGTGGAAAGTCGTGCGCCTCGTAACAAGAGAGGCAGGTGGGATGGAAGTTGTTTCGCGTGGAAATCGTGCACCCCTCAGGGTGCCATTACATGGAGCGCGGAAACGCGGAAATGCGGAAACGCGAAAGAAAAAGTAACTAGATTCCACGGTTCCGTCGTTTCTTCCCGCGTGTTTAAGCGGAAAAGCAAAAATATGTTTTCTTAATGTTATGATATATATATATATATACATATATATATACATATAATCACGAGAGATCATTCCTTGCTCGTATGAGATACTTCATAATAATCATCAACATGATGTTTGGATCCATATTATACAGCATCTTTTAAAAGAATAAAAGTATGAAAGCTTTCTTTTTCAATCGGTTCCGAAATTTTATGGTATACATTTCACATTGACAACAGATTTTGACGCGGTTGTTCCGCGAGTTTGTTTCTCCTTATATTACATGGAGCATAATTTCCGCGGAAAAGCGGAAGAGTACAGTGACAAATAGACATTCATATTCATTTTTAAAAATTATATTTACTTAATTCATTGTAATTCTTTTTAATATGTTCATCTTTTCAACCTATCTATTGAATACAAGTATTTTAATCAATAAATATCGTTAAAAATTATTATTTTATAATTCTCCGTTCCGCTCTTTCGCTCTAAATATGCTCCATGTAATATAAGGCAATTAAAACAGACGGAACGGAACGCGCGGAAACGCGGATATCTAGTAAAGTTTGTCTTCCGCGTTTCCGCGGTTCCGTTTTGTCTGTTTTAATTCCGTCTGTATTGCGGTGAGAATAAGCATAGTGGTATGAACAATAGTTGCCACCTTTATGAGGACATTCCTAAATGTATCAATTGCCAGGGAGAGCACTGGGCCACCGCGAACATTTGCCCGGTTGTCCATAGACAGCGAGCTATAGTTAACATGGCTGCCGTTGAGAATATCTCAATTGCAGACGCCAGGAAAATCGTCAATAGCAATACTCCCAGTCCCCACACATCTGGCTCGCCTGATGTGTCCCGTAATTCCAATTTCTTATCTTCTTATCTTCCGAGAATAATTTTCCTTATCTTCCGAGGAAGAAGTCGTACACAGAGGGCCATCCATTTGAAAATATTAATCGATTTGGACTTTTAGGTGTGGAGGCTGCTGGCTCAAGACATCAGTCATACTCCAATGCAGTGAGGTTCGACACTCGCTCGCCTCTGGCGGGCATGTTTATAATAATAATCGGGAGGATATGAATATCCAACAGCGCCCAACTCGTCACGGTGCCATCCATCCTAAGGAATCATATTTAAACAAAGAAGCTCATCGCAATACGATATATGAATTTAAATTGGCAGAACCCCCCATCTTTTCGGCAACGGGGTCGCCTTTCAAAGCGTCCCCTCCTCGCAACAAGATCTCCAAGATACAGATAATGAAAATAAAAATGAAAATATCCTTAAAGACCTGTTCTTCGTACTCACAGACTTGCTCGCACATTTCCAGAACAACGATTTAACTAGTGCGCTGAGCATAATCATGGCTCTAGTAAAAAACTTGTTCAATATTTTTCAACTCCCGCTCCTCCCTCGAAGGGGAGAAGCTGGTAATACTTGTAGACCGCCTCCAGATAACTCCTCTTATTCTTATACTCAGCAACTTAATTCTTTTGGCACGCATGGATACGCACATGACAATGGAATGGATTGTGGTTTTCGGAATTAAATCGCTCCAATTAAATAATTGCGATAGTTACATCGCGCACGGGTGGGTTCGGGGGGGCCCCTTTCGATCCATCTCGTCCCCGGGGTGGGGGCTGTTCTGGCTTTACCACTGGGGCGCCTCCGACGCCGGGATCGTGCGGAGGTCAGGGGGATCTCTCCGGGCGCTCGCGTGCATCCTTTTGCGGATCTGCGAACGGCATTAGAGTTTTTCAGTGAAATTGTTGCGGCATCCACCACAACCTTCCTTCGCTCCTAGCCATTGCAAATGAATATGATGTTTTATGCATACACGAAACCCTGCTAAAGCAAACTAACAACTTCAAAGTCGGAGGTTTTAACATTCTTAGAAAAGACATCACACAGCCTGGTAACAGAGGTGTATGTATATTGGTGCGCGAGAATTTAACCTATGAGAAGCTCGCATTTGACGGGGTAGAACATCCCTCGGTAGAATATCTTATTATTAAATTGATTTCTCCGAAGGAGCCGGTCGTAATAGTTAACACATATAGACACCCGGGTCAGAATAACCCCTCTTCATTCTTTCAGAGCTTATTTTGTAAATTGAATAGTTACAATTTTATCTTACAGGGGACTTGAATGCTCACCATACAGCCTGGGGTTGCAAAAAAGTATCTGCATCGGGTAGAAAGCTTATTTCTCAGTGGTCACGATAATAGGCATTCAGGTCTCCCTCAAACTCAACTTCCGTTACAGGCTCTCCTTGAGAGAGGAAGAATTGAGCGAGATATATCATCGTCTATCGTCTTTGACGGCGGCGCCTCCTTTAGAAAAAGAGATTGATCCGATTGGGCAGTACAATATTCTCGTACAATCTATTCTTGACGTAGCCAGAAGTCTCATACCGGAAGGCAAAGTCTTTCCGCGCAGTTGTATACAGGGTGGGAGTCCTGACCCCCCGCCTTGGTGAAATGAGGAGTGCGCCTCGGCGGTGCAGAAGAGAAGAAGAGCTGTTTGTAAACTCACTGCTTGCCCTAACAGAAGTAATTTTAAAGAGTTTCAAAAAGTAAGAATTTTATGCACATTTAGCAAAACAAAAGCGCAAAGATTGGCGTGACCTGGTTGGCGGTTTTAACAGCCAAACCACGAGCCAGATATGGGCTCTCATTAAATCTTTTCGCAGAAATTCTTCTCAAAACAATCTCCCGCAGCGGGAGCACAGACAAGCCTCTCTTGACTCGGTCTCTAAGCTCTGCTCTCCGTCATGCTATTATGACTGTTCTAAGCCCATGGAGGTTATGAAGCATGAGGACCGCTCGAACCCTCTTATTTGTGGTTGGCTTGGCAGCCCTCTTACCTTAAAAGAACTTAGAAATGCTCTCAAATCAGCCAAAAAACGTTCGGCTCCGAGTTTGGATCAGATTGACTTCTCCATGATCGCGAGTCTCCCTGCAGAATTTCTGACTCACGTGTTGGATATTTACAAATGAAGTCCTAGATAAGGGTGTCTTTCCAGACTCCTGAAGAAACTCGTTGGTTGTACTGATTCCTAAGGCAAATCGCGGTTAGACCTATATCTCTTCTGTCTTGTCTGTGCAAGCTCATGGAACGAGTATTGTATTATAGATTGAGTTGGTTCATCGAGTCTCAGCCTATTCTCCCTCAAGCTCAATCAGGCTTCAGGCCTTTCAGAGCCTGTGATGATAATTTAGCGGTCCTCTCCACTACTGTGAAAACGGGCTTCCTCAATCCAACTCCCACAGTCGCGGTTTTATTGGACGTTGCAGGAGCATTCGATAACGTGAATACACACATTCTCGTATCTGATCTTTTTGAGATTGGCGTTTCTGCCCCCCTCAGGAAGTTCGTTGAGAATTTAATTAGCTACAGGCAACTGAGCTTCATTATTGATGGCGAATTATGCGGCCCTTTTACATCACTTAAAGATACCCTTCAGGGTCTACTCTGAGCTCTCTTCTAATTGATATATACTTAAGGGAACTCGACCAGCACTTTCATCCTAACACCCGCTTATTGCAATATGCGGACAATATTGTTTTGTATTCTTCTCAACGGAATTTAGAGGACGCCATATCTTCTATCCAAATTTCCCTTAATAGGATATACGAATATTTCAAATACAGGAACCTAGAAGTATCACCGCATAAATCTAGTTGGATTATTTTTTCGCAAGGCAATCCTGTTAAGACCTCCGCATCCCTGTCCATCAACAGGGCACAGATTCTCAGGATCCATTCACACCGCTTCCTGGGCGTTATTTTGGACCACAGACTCAGCGGAAGACAACACCTCCGTTACTTAATAGATAAGGATAGAAAAATCAGCAGCATCATTTCAGCGCTGTCAGGAATCAAATGGGGTTCTCACCCCGAACTGCTTCTAACTATCTACAGGTCCACCTTTCGAAGCGCCATGGAATACGACTTGTCAATTTTTTGCGTGGAATCCCACTGCTACAGACTTCATTAAACTGCAGCGTCTTCAGTACAGGATAATTAGAAAAGCAATGGGATACCGTATTTCGACGCCCATCAATGTCATGCTTAGTGAGGCCAAAGAATTTAAAATGAACATCAGATTCAATCTAATTGTTTCAAAATTTGTTTATAAGGCCATGGCAAACAAATTCAGCTTAGCATACGAAGCACTGGAGGAGCTAGAAATCATTGCTATCAGAAGGAACCTCAAAGTAGAGGCCATTCAAGGCTCTAGACTTTTCAAGCACTACATGACCAGCCGCCACGAGAGGCGAATCATTCACCGCTCTGCTTACCCTCCTGCTTTTTGGCATCCTTATGAGATATACAACCAGGAAATAACGTACGGGGCATGTTTGGACACGTCCGTATTAAGGACGTTAAGGACATGTTTGGCTGCGAACAAAAGGGAAATAACAGTCTTATCATTGCAGATTCCCCACATAAATCTTTCTCATATACACAAAACGCTACTTCTTTCTACACTGATGGCTCAAAGAATTCGGAGGGTGCTGTTGGGGCCGGCGTCTTCTCTCCTGGGATGGCCGATAGTATCGGCCACAGGCTCCCACCGGAGACGTCAATCTTTTCTGCGGAGCTTTGGGCTCTGTATCAGGCTGTTCTCGCTGCTGATGATCTTGGACGGCAGCGTAATATCATCTTCTCGGACTCAAAGAGTGCTCTAAACGCGATACAGGACATGGGGAGAACTCGCCGTAATTACATCATTTACTACATTAAACAAGCCTATCATGATGCAATCAACAGAGGCAAGGAGACCTTGTTTTGGGTCCCGGCCCACTCCGGTATTCCCGGGAATGAATCTGCGGACTTGGTTGCCAAGCAGGCAGCGTTAGATGGATATTCTCCGGAATTTCATGTACCATACGAAGATCTCTTAGTCGAGTTCAAACGTTAAGTCTACGCGCAATTCGAGGGATACATGAAAACAATTTCCACCTCTAAAGGTATAATTTACTATGAGCGATACCACATGACCACCAGGAAGACCTGGTTTCACGAAACTTCCTTTAGCAGAGAGGCAATAGTTTTAATTAATCGTCTCAGGTCCAACACATCAATCTTAATGAGAGTCTTTATAGAGTTAATATTATAGGGTGAATTCACCTGCTTGTCCCTACGGGGACCCCTGCCAAAGTATCAACCATATCATATTTCATTGTGAAAAATACTGCTCAAACGCTAAACAAATCCGAGAATTTATAGCAACAAAATTTCCCAATACTTCGCAGAACCTATCCCCTGTCCTTTCCTCTTCTACTCCGAAACTTTGTCGTCTACTCTTAGTCTATACAATGGTCTTTTTTTTTAATCATATTATATTCCTCCCCTCCTTCCCATGGCGTGCGACCACCGCTGGGTGGCAGCAGGTGTCCGGTCGAGGGGCGAGGCAGCCATTTTCTAACCAATGCTAGTGGGATCCATATAAGCAAGAAATTACCAGTTACCGCAGATCAATGGCCTAGTTCAATCGGTTAGGTTGCCTGGCCACTTTAGGACAAGAAAAAGAAGAATGCTCCTGACACAGGGTATTGGCTGGTAGATTTTGCCAAATTTTGCCGCCAAGAATAGAAGTGCCGATTCATCAAAGTGCGGTAATTAAAATAAATTCAATTTAAAATAATGAGTTCCAAGCTTGAGATTACGGAGGAAAATGTTTCTGCACTTATTGCGAACAACAAATTGGTCGTATGGGATGTTAATAGTAAGTTATTTATTTGTCTTTAATGTAATTTTACACTTTAAATATGTAGGTTATGATGAATGGTTCTTTCGTATAGTACAAGTAAACGGTTTTTTTTAATCAATATTGCATATGAAAAAGCAAAAAGCAAACGCTAATTATTATAATAAAATTATATCTAATCTTCAAACTCTAAATAAATTATGAACAAATGTTTATCGACCTCTTACGTGGTCATGATGAGTGTTACGTTTGGAATTAAACGTGATATATCAATGTACATACATAATAAACACAATGCCTTATCATATACAAATTCATACATTATTAACGCTCGCATGTCAAATTTGTTGTCTTCAATAAAACATGAATCTTCTCTTATTTCTATTGCATTCCATTCCTCTTTATCCGAAAGTGTGTCAATAATGTCAAAAATTTAAAACATATTCTCAGATTGTATAATAGATACTCAACTCAAATATATTCTTATCGTAGAATATCGACTCGCAAGAAAATCTTAATATTATGTGATATGAAGCAGAAATCAATTCCTGTTTGTTTAGCCATGAATACCTAACAAATTCGAATCAATCAGACAATGAACATTCAGATTCGTTTGGATATTCATGGCTAAGGAAACGATTCACATCACATAATGTTCTGAGTTGCTTGCGAGTTAATATTCTGCAATTTGAGAATATGTTTGAGTTGAATATCTACAATCTGAGAATGTTTTAAATTCTTGATATTATTGATACACTTATGGGAAAAGAAGAATGGAACGCAATAGACATAAGAGAGGATTTCTGTTTTATTGAAGACAGAGAATCTGACATGCGAGCGTTAAGTAATGTATGTGTTCGTATATAATAGGGCATTGTGTTTATAATGTATGTAAATTAATATCACGTTTAATTCCAAACAACACTGATAATGACTGCGTAAAAGGTCGAAACGTTTATTATAATTTGTTTATAATTTAATGATTAGATAGAATATATTTCACTTTTAAACTGGCGTTGACTTTTTATGATCCTTTTCATACAGCAATATCTTCCATATAAAATTCTTCTTCATCAATCTTTAAATGATTAATTTTTTTTATTTTAGGTAGTTGTCCAATGCATGTTGATGTAACACCTGAAAATCTACACTGAAAAAATGCATGTAATTTTACATATTTTTGAAATTACATGTTCATGACTGGAAAATTGCTAAATATGATTGGAAATTTACAATTTCCAGTAAATTTCCAAGCATATTTATGTAATTTAGATAATTTTTCAATCATATACATGTAATTTCTATGTAAAATTACATGCATTTTTTTCAGTGTAGCGACTTTCAATTTGCATGTTGAAACAAATTCCTCAGGTAAAATTTTTACTTTATTTATCTTTGTTTTACTAACCTTCAAAGATAAGTAATATATTTATTGGTAAACAGATGAGACTCTAATGTCAGAAATACGATTGTTGTCTGCTAAACAACCTGTTGCAAATTCTGAAAATAAAAACTTACAAGGTCGGTAGCTTATGGACATCTCTGGCAAAAAAGGTACATATATCTTTTTCAAAATTATAATTCTATCTCCTTATGCACTTCTCATTCATTATCAATTCTTATTTTTTTATTACAGCTACAACGTCATGGAAGGATGATTATGCTGTTAAAACTCTCATTGATGAATGGAGAGAACATAAAAGTTATTTCAAAAGCACTACAATTACTAACAAGAAAGTCTAGGAAATGATAGCCACAAAGTTAAAGAAAGAGAACTCAGTCTGTATATTGTATACGATCCGCTTTCCAATTACAACACAAGTTGACACAGTGAAACTCAGCTATTAGTCATGTATGAAAACTAAACCAATCAACCAACGGTTCTAACCGGAAAACAGTGTACTTGAAAATCATGGAATCATACACAGTAAAACAGTATCGCATATACGTTGCTGGAAAATACTCTATGTGAGGGTTTAATTTTTTTAAAGATTGGTCCTCTCTCTCTCACTCACTCAAATATCCTTAAATTTTTTATATTATCAACTCATGTATTATATTATCATCTCCTATATTTTTACGTTATAGACAAAAAGATATAGAAGAATGATTTCATAGTAAAAATATAAGAGATTAATTGTTACACAAACAAAGGTTATAGAGTTTTATTTTTTATGATTGGTGCTGCCAGAAGCATTATTGGGATTTTTAAGTATGAAGTATTATTAAGTTATTTGCACATGTTATCAATTCATGTACTTAATGTGATTTAATGCTTAAAGACTGAGAAACACTAAAGGCCTTAGTAGAATGACTGATTTATAATCTCAGGACCTAAGTCTTTTATCTTTAGTAATACACAATAACTGTCTTATGACTCAAGCCTTAAAGGAGTGTAGATATATGTACATCTCGTATGCACGCACGCACGCACGCACACACGCGCACACACACGCACACACACACACACACACACACACACACACACACACACACATCTGTAAAACTTGAGTCATAAAACAGTTATTGTGCGTTATTAAAGACAAAAAATTTCGATTTCAATTATGCTGTCTCGTCCGGATGGACCTTCCCTCCCACCCAGACCCTATTTCAGATTTATCGCTTTAAACTAATGAGCGCCATGGTGCAGATGCGCGCAGAAGCATATGGGAAGGCATGAGAGCAGCGCCTTCTTTCAATTCTTGTGTACTTTAAAAAGACCTGTTGAGGATAAAGCAGCGGAACGCTACTACGATTATTCATCCGGACGAGACAGCATAATTGAAATCGAACTTCACTGTAAGTTCGTTTAATTACTCAATAAAATGAAGATTTAGATAGATAAAGAAGAAAGTGATAAGATTTTCATATCAAAAATAAAATTAACAAAAATATCAGTTAATAAGAGTACGGCGCGATACTTTGTGTGTGTGTATAAGTATTTAATTATAATTTATATACGTGCACAAAGTACCGCGCCGTATTCTTATAAGATAATCTTTTTGCTAATTGTATTTTTAGATAAATATTAGTTAAATATGAGTAATATTTTAATAATGACATTAGAAAGAAATTACTATATCTTTTAATTTTTTTTTTATTAAACTTAGATTTCCGTGGAATCTACTCAATTATGTGAAATATTCAACCTCTGTAAATTAAATATTAACTAGAGATAGGATAAAGATAATATGTGAATCGTATATTTATAATAAAGAAGAGGAGAATTTTCGGGATGTAACAATACATACAATAGTAGGTATAAAAAATTAAAGCTGGAATAAATGAATGTTTTTAATTTAAACAATTTCTAATTGTAATAATAATATTTATAGGCGAAACATCCACACCTGTTGGACACCGTCGATAAAGAAAAATTAAATTGTCAAAGAAATATCCAAATAAAGATTCCGTAAATAATATTCCAAATAAATATCATACATTGGAAAGATAGGGCGCTGGAAGTTCAATCGCTACTCAGAAAGAACTGGATAAAGCAATACTACAGTTTATTGTTGAAAATATTCAACCTCTGTCCATTGTAGATAGTCCATCATTTATCAATTTGATTAGAATTGGACTTCCTTCACATGTTAATATAATGTGCAGAAAGACATTAAAAGAAAGACTTTGTCAAATGTATCATAGAATGGAGAATGTCCGAAAAAAGTTGGCAGAAATAAAAATAGTTGCGACAATGGCAGATTTGTGGAGCAAAGGAAAAAGATATACAATGGTATAACTTATATTAATAAACTCTGTTGAGAGAAATGGCCAAAAACGAACTAACAACAATGGGATATTAAAATAATATTAATTGAATTTAATATATCAGATATATTAAAAATTTAAGCGAAACAAGTTTCGACTTTACAAAGTCTTCATCAGTCGTATATGATTTACAAAATACAAATTAACTTAAACATAATAAAAGATTAAATTGTGTGACTATCAATTTTTATCTTTGCGACATTTAATCTTTTATTATGTTTAAGTTAATTTGTATTTTGTAAATCATATACGACTGATGAAGACTTTGTAAAGTCGAATATAGTTTCGCTTAAATTTATCTACTCTATCGAGAACGCAAGTATTTGAGTGGCATAAAGCATTCAGTAAGGATCGTGAGGTCGTAGAAAACTTGCCTCATGCGAGTCGTCCATCCACCTCTGTTAACGACGATAACATGGAAAAAGTGAAGGAAATTGTGC